CCATATAATGGGGCCGGTGCCCTACTCCTTTGAGCCCCAGGCGCTGCCCCAGGCTATCATTCTTATCCTTCATTCCACTCCTACTTGGAAGGTGTAACACATTTTCCCTGTCAGCATTTTGCTTTCTTTTTGTTTTGTTTTTTTGTTTGTTTTCTTTTGAGACAGAGTCTCGCTCTGTGGTCCAGGTCTACTGCAGTGCCATGGCCTCAGCCTAGCTCATGGCAACCTCATATTCCTGGGCTCAAGAGATCCTCCTGCCTCAGCATCTCCAGTAGCTGAGACTACAGGCACCCACCATGATGCCTGGCTGGTTTTTCTATTTTTTAATAGGAAGAGAAAATGGGGTCTCACTCTTGCTCAGGATGGTCTTGAACTCCTGAGCTCAAGAGATCCTCCTGCCTCATCCTCCTAGACTGCTGAGATCACAGGCATTAACCACTATCCAGGCTGACTATCAGCATTTTTTCTCCAACAGAACTGACCAGGTAAACTTAAATAATCTGGGCTTAGATTTCTTAACAAAATTCCTTTAGTAGATTTTTAGAAGTATGAACTTCAATCACCCTCAAATTTTAAATTCTTAGCTCAGATGATCATAAGTTAGCATTAACACAGGGCTGTCACATCACTGCATGGTGTGTTTCTGCTTTAGTCCCAGATGACTTTCTTTCAATCTAGTTACCAAGTGCTCTCGTTAGCAGAGATAGGCCATAATGCTCATTGGACCATCACTCTAGTTTTCAGATTCAAGAGTCTTACCATTGGTTTGAAAAGGCACATTAGAGAAAACGCTGAGAAATTCCTCGTTCAGTGCTCTCCTGAGTATATTCAAAGTGATGTAAGAAAGGCTTGTGTACAAGTAACTGTGAACAGCCAAAACCACCGAATAGGAACCAATGACTCCGCAGGTCAGTATGTTCAGCTGTGGAAGAATAAAAGCATTTAGGCATCATCCCTAGAAGAACGAGAGGAATCTCTAACTCTCACCACTAGCCCCAATCACAGAGAGTCACTTCTGTTCTCTCAGGGCACATGAACACACGAAAAGAGCCCAGACCAAGCATTAGAGCTGCTTAAAAGGTACCAGTTTTCTTTTTCCTCTTCTTTTTTTTGAGACCAAGTCTCATTCTGTTGTCTTGGGTAGAATGTCCTGACATCATAGCTCACAGCAACTTCCCAGACTCCTGGGGCTCAAGACAGCCTTCTTGCCTTAGTCTCCTGAGGAGCTGGGACTACAGGTGCACCCCACAATGTCTGGTTAGTTTTTCTATTTTTAGTAGCGATGGGGTCTCCATCTTGCTCAGGCTGGTCTTAAACTCCTGAGCTCAAGGGATACACCAGCCTTGGCCTCCCAGAGTGCTAGGATTATAGGCCTGAGCCACGGCACTTGGCCGTCAGCTATCTTTCAATAACCTGAAAACAACCTGCGACATATTGAGTTCTGAAAACACAGTGTAGCTTATCCAAATACTATAGAAA